TCTCATACATATAGCAGTATTCCATGTCTGTGGTGTAACTCGAACATGTATTGCTGTCATTGGATGACTCAGCCATTGCACTCTTACATTCTCCTTGTCAGTATTGCCTTGGAATATCTGTTGAAATGTATATTTTATTTAGCACTGCAATGTAATAGTTAACACCAATAGCAAGTTTGACAGCTACAGAAATAGTAGCAGTCCCTGCACCATCTTGAAAGGTAACCGTGAYTTGCATCGACGCGAGAATTGCTGTACACTTGACCTTGAAACGATAAAGACAAAAATAATTGCACAAGGTGTCAAAAAAGGTCTTTAGCATTGCAAGGGCACCACCGTCCGCCTCGCTTCGATGCATAGGCACGGTAACCTTTCAGTGTAATGCAGAGAATAGCACTGTCTGAACTAGTTTTGGGGGAAATATTGATGACTGATCCATGTAAATATTTCCTTGCTTTTTTTCATATCAAATATAATTTATATCAGTATCTACCTTATCATGGTTGCTTCCAGCTTTGTAGGTGTTCCACAGATTGTCATCCATACTGTAACTGATATTGTAGGTAGTAACCCACTTATCCATGGTGTGGTCACCCTGTGTTGCTATACCTGTCACTGTCATCACTTGTCCCAGGTTAATCTGTAAGTACTGAGTGTTAGGTGACGTACTACTACACCATGCGCTGCTRCCRTAGAGACGACCATGTGATGCAGTATGGGCACTGTCAAGGAGTGATGATGAAGTCATTTGGCTGTTTGGAATTATACCAGGTGTTTCAAGTCCAAGAGGAAAGCTGCAAGCTATAATCGATGATATTTATTACTTACTTTAGTTTGTCTAAGAATGGATCCAGTTTTAATACTGATAAATTAATTAGACAATGAAATGAATTCCAAAATATTTGCCTAAACTAGTGCTTTGTCTGGCCCTCGTCTCGCGTCGGTTATCAACATTTTCAGATATTCTTTTTATAAACCAACTTGAACGCGTTTTCTATTTTTTTCACTAACCTGAAGATATCCCATAAACCTCTACTCTCATGGACGGCCGATTAAAATATCTCGTGGGATGGAATTGTATAAACTTGGCCTTTACTGGATGACTTAGACTGTTTATCTTGACGTGATCTTTATTTGAGTTGCCTCCAAAGGTCTAAGACGAAGACATTTTAAGTAAAAGTATTTCTTCTCCCTTTTTAAGTAACAAATAACTGAAAACAGAAATGCATCACTATAACACACTCGCGCAAAACTTAGAGGGTTGAGCTGAATGTAATAATGCGTCGGCGATCAATATTCGCCACGTACCCTTCTATGCAATTTGATGAGATACATAACATGTGAGGTTCTATTTAAAAAGCCTATTTGTATGGTTTTTAATAATAATTAGATCTACGCTTCTTATCTTTTCACATATCTTGTCACGTATTTACCTTTTCAATATTACTTTCCTGGTAATAATCCCAATTTACATTATCCAAGGACACTCTAATCTTGTATGAATATACCCACTCATTAGCAAAGACCCCAGCACCTTGGGTGGCTACTGCACACACGAACACCACAGAACCAAGGTCTATCTGCAGCCGCTCTCCAATATAGTATTTTAAAGGTGCCCAAGCTTTATTAGATGTTTTCAGCCTAGCATTGCTTGGTATGTAATCTCCGYYATATGAAGAACTGGCAGTAAACCTGTGGTCTGGGATGATACTAGGGTATGACAAACCAACGAACATCAATGTACAACCTGTAACATAGCAAAAACATTAATATATCAACAAATCCAGATTCAGTTTTTAAACTGATTTGTTTCTTTTCTTTTCTTTCCTTTCCTTTCCTTTTCTTTTCTTTCCTTTCCTTTCCTTTCCTTTCCTTTTCTTTTCTTTTCACTATTCGATCAGTTCTATGTTCTATCGGCTAAATGGAATGTATCTCTAACACTCAAATTTCGCGTAATATTTCCTCGAGGCTGTAATTGTGCAACCCTGAACTTGTGTCGCAAATAAGCTCCAGAACGAAAATTGCGCGGTGCCACAACGCCCCCGTTAAATTTCTCTTGCAACGCAACTTATAAAAGAGCATTTACGTAGAATAACTAATTTTCCAAATATGAAGACTCGAGGTCTATATGTACCTTCGTCGTGTTTTATTCCATAGAGTTCTGTTCTCATGCAGCTTGTACTCCCATAATGACTTGTGGGTGCAACACGTATGTACTGACTAACAGTACCGTCATAAAAKATATTCTTGACTGTACAATTAGAGTCGAAGTTGCCAGTAAATGACTATTGGAATAAAGAATATCTTTTTGAGTACTAAAAAAGTCATAGGAAATACCAAGTTAAATTTAACATATGAAAAGAATGAATTTTGCCTTGGATATTTCATATATCCAAACTCTAGCTGCTTCAAATAGCAAAATTATAGTTTTACACTGGGCTTTGCGAGGTTTTTTCTTCTTTTGGGGGGGGGGTTGCCAGAAAAGTTTTTTTCCGTGTTTCTTTACCTCAACTTGGCTGTTTTCCATGTATTTAGTAAAATTAGACCCATCATTTGATGTCAGCATGTGATAAGACTGTACCCACTGGTCTGTCATGTGGTCACCCTGTGTTGCTATACCACAAATGATGTAAGGCGATCCTAAGTTAATCTGTAGATATGGAGAAGAGTCATTTCTAGCAGCACACCATGATGACTCTGCTATGTAGTTTAGTCGTCCCTTGGATGGTGACGTGGTGCCGTTGTAATCTGATGATGATGTCATATCACTTTCTGGTATCTTACCACTACCAATACCAACTGGTAGAGAGCTGCACAACAAACCTATAACAAAGCTTTTTTTTTATTATTCTTAAAAATA